CCCTGCCTGTGGCTCGGTGCCACGTGAGTCTGTGGGGCGGGCCTGTGTTGGATCCCTTTCTGCTCACTCACCATGGCTGAGCACAGGCCGCCTTGTGTGGCTCTGTGGCACCCCCGCTGCCTGCAGGCCAGCCTACCCGTGTCCCTGCTCGCTGACCACTGGGGCTGGGGCTCCCAGCCGCTCCCCCGTCCCTGGGCCTCAGCTCCCTTCCCCAGCCTGGTCCCACCTCTCTGCCTCCCCTTCCCCAGATCACACCCCCTTCTTCCAAGACCAGTGATGCATGGGGCAGACCGGACCTCGCCCTTTGTTGGCGAGAACTGGCCATGTGTGCGCCTCACCTGCGCACACCGAGTCACAGCCCTCTCCTGGCACTGCCTGTGCCCTGGTCCTGTGGGGTGCTGGCCGTGGGGTGGCCTGTGGCGTTCCTGGGGGACTCCCGTCGGTCTCATTTGGGAGGTGGCTGGAGACAAGGGCGGGCACTGGCAGGCAGTGCTCAAGGCCGCGTGATGATGGTCAGGGTCAAGACGCTGGAGGCAGGAGAGGATGAGGAAACACCGAGAGGCTGCGGGAGACGGTGGGGGGGCTGGGGTCAGCACGGGGCTACGGGCCAAGCCCACTCCCTGGGGTCCCCAGAAAAGCCCCCTCTTCCCCAGCCGTCCCCACCCTGCCCCTTTGGCTAAGCACCTTCCCTTCCCCCAGTGCTCGCTCGCTCTCTCGCTCTCTCTCTCTCCCTGACGCCTCCAGCCCAGGACCCAGGGGCCCTGACAGATCATGAATCCCAGACTTGGGACAGAGGGAGCCTCCGGCACTTAGCTCTTGGCAGCGTGGCTCAGCTGGCACCTCGGGGGGCCTCCCCTCCCGGAGCCTCCGCGCTGCAGCCTGGCTCTGAGTCCAGGTGGCCCAGACGTCTTGGAGCCCCGGCAGGACACGCGGATGCAGTGCAGGCCGGCCGAGCTGTCAGCACGTCCTGGGCGGCCTTGGCCGCGGAGGGGGTGGCAGGAGCTTCCCCCCCGGGGAGCAGCCGGTGCCAGGGTGGGGGAGAGGCGAGAGGCCAAGGGCAGTGGAGCTGGGCTGGGTGTGGAGATGACAAGGCTTAGGACTGCGCTGGGTCCTGGGCGCTCCCAGGGAGGGGGCTGCCCAGCGGGAAGCAAGGACCGTGCGATGGCCTACGCTCCGAGACCCCGAAGAAACCAAGCGGATCCAACAAGCAAGCAGCCGGCGAGCCCAGTGGGCGCCGAGCCTGCAGGGGCGTCCTTGTGCACGAACAGCCTCAATGCAGGTAGCGGGGCTGCGGGCGTGGGGGCTGGGAGCAGCACTGCAGTGCTTCCACGGTGACAGCGGGCCCGGGGCCAGCTCAGGGCAAGAGCTTCCCGGCCTCCTGAGTTGGACACCTGCCCCCAGCCCTACCCCTGTGAGCACCCCCGAGAGAGCGCAGCAGGCCCCGCCCTGCCAGGCCGCTCCATTCCCTGCTGCCCCTGTAATAAACACACACACAGTAACCACTGCCTGGAAACCCCGGCTCACTTTGCTCTGCCTCCTCCTCCAGGAAGTCCACTTTGACCATGCTGCAGAAAACCAGTGCTCTCCGCCCCTGAATCACCGGCCCTGGTTACAGACCTGCAGGCAGAGCAGATGTGACCCAAGCCAGGGCACCCCTCTGTCCTCTCAGCCTCTGGCCATGATGTCTGGCTGGGCACAGGTTGCGTCTGTACCCCAGCTGGCCCGCTCCCTGTCCGGAACCAGGGTCCTTTCTCCTGGTGTGTACTCCCGGTGGGAGGTCTCTGTGCTCCTGGCCGGCCCCACAGAGCAGAGCCGCTGAGCGCAGAGTGTAGGTGGTCCTCACACTAGAAGACACCAGGCAGTGGCAGCTCTGCCTGTCCCCCCTCCCCAGCTCAGCCTCCAGTCTTCTCAGGGGTTGGAGCACAGGCCAGGGCTTGGGCCTGAGTCCTTGGGCAGTTGCCCGGAGGCTGTGGCATGGGGGCTAGATTGGGTCCCACGGAAGAGAAAAGATTCGCCTGCTGCAGCCCCAGGCCGGGGTGTGGGGTGGAGAAGCCACAGGAAGTGACTATGTAGTGTTAGGCATTGCTTTCCTGCCACCAGCAATATTTACATGTTTTTTATCTTAGAATTTATTTACCTGAAGGGCAGAGAGAGAGAGAGAGAGAATCAGAGAATCTTCCACCCTGTTGGTTCAGTCCCCAAATGCCCACAACAGCCAGGGCTGGGCCAGACCAAAGCCAGGCGTCAGAAACTCCTCTGTGCCCTGAGAATACGGGAGCCACACTGGGTACTGAAGGTCAGGCTATCTTCCCTCCCGCGGCCATCTCATCGCACAGGGCTCGCTGGGAACTGTCCAAAACAAGGCGGGGTGACAGGTGCACTGGCTTTCTCATCCAGTCTCGGCGATAACTTGTGGGATAGGTTCATGAAACCCATTGCACGTGTGAGGCAGACTGAGGCACCCGCGGCAGGGCATGGCGGAAGAGGACTTCAGCTGGCGGCTTTTGTTTTCCAGAGCCACGCGCCACGCGCCACACTCCACTGTTTACGGCCGGGGTTCCCAGACTTTTGGAATGCACAGACCAATAACATTTTTAAATGATTTTTGGGAACAAACAGAGAACCCTATGCCAACTTTTTATTTAGCCGAGGACCAAAAAAAAAAAAAGGAAAAATAAAAAAAAACACTGTCTCCCAGCACCGTGATTTCACAAAAGGGCATTTTAACACAGAAACTGTGGCAAAGATATAATCTTAGAATAAAGACAACAGCTGGCAACCCTGCCCCAGAACATCCCACATGGTGCTTCTGCACCCCACCCCACCCCCGCCTCTTAACCTTGGCACTGCAGGCTCCGGGAGCCACTGCCTGTCCCCACCCCCACCCAGCAAAGCCCTCAACCCACTGGCAACCTCACTGCTGGAATTTCCCATCCCCCCTGCCCAGCCAGGTCCCCACCAAATAAGGCCTGGAATATACAATCGGCACGGCCCTGCCCCCAGCGTGTCTTCTGCGTCGCACCCGATGGCGATGGCCGGCCTCCCTCCCGGCCCTGCCTGCCAGCCCCCTCCTCCCTCCCGCCCAGCTCTCTTCCGGGAGCACCCAGGCCCTCGGGGACCCCCTAGCTGGACAGCAGGTCTTGTCTCTGTCCCAGTCCTGACGAGGCAGGGCCTGCTGCTTCCCTGGGGTCCCCAGGTCATGGCCACCCCTGAATCACAGCCAACCCCACACCTTCTAGAGGGTGCCTGAGAGGCGAGGGTAGGACACTGGGGGAGCGATGGGGCGGGTGCAGGCTGCAGGGCACCCATTCCCGTCTGCTCTCCCCTTCCTGCTCCAGCAGCGCCAGGCTCGGGACCGCCTCTCCCTCCTGCACCTGTGCATGCCCGGCCCACCCCGTCTGAGCCAGCGCCACTGTGTTCTTGCTGTGGAACACTGGCAAGCCACTTAACCTCTCTGTGCTTGCAAAGGTTGGGCCCTGTGAAACAGCCGAAATTTGACCACACGGGGCTCACGAAAATGATTTTATGTGCATTAAAACAGATGAGGTATAAAACTACGTCAGATACGTGTCTGTCAACACATCTGACCCCCTCTTCCAGGAAGCCCTCCCTAACTGCCCCCAAACTCACTGTGGTCTCCCTTCCCCCCTCTCCCATCTGGGGCACAGTTTAGCGAACACTTATTTCTTGTCTTGCGTTTTTCTGTTATTCTGGAGTCTTGCCTCCCTGCGGTGGGGAACACACCAAGGGCTCCTGCTGTGCCGCCCTGGTCTGCTTGCTGCTCTGTCTATACAACAGTCATTTCTTTACCCAAAGCTGGTCCTAGTGGCCGTGAATGGGTGGTGCAGACCAATCGGAGAGCAGGTAAAGTGCCCACAGGGGGATGAAGAGGCCCTGACTCCAGCAGCTGTGACAGCCGCAACCCAAGACACAGACCCCCAGCCCTGCCCTCTTTCTGTGACAGGTGCCATTTGCCCCGGCTCCCTGGCAGACTCAACGGTCACTGATTTGCTCTCTGTCCAAGACTCCGCGGGTGCTGAATCCTGCCTGGAGCCCGGCCCCTCCTCCCAGGGGCCACGGACTGCCCAGGCTGCTGAGTGCCTGCAGGCCACGGGGACCTGACCAGGACCCGGGGTCCGAAAAGGCTTCCTGGAGGACGGATGGTCCCCCCCGCGGGACCCTAGGAAGCCTGTGTAGACTGACTTCCTGAAGCTGGCTAAGACACGCTGGACACACTGGCCCCCAGCAAGAAGTGAGCTAATCGGAGGATCCCCCCACCCCACCCTGGCTCCTGGGCTGAGAGCACCCTGTCTCAAGGACACCCAAGGACACGCAGGGGTGAGGCCTCCAGCATCTGTGCCGAGCAGTGTCAGCTCAGAGCTGCTCCAAGTAGAAGTGCCAGCTACAGGCCCCGTGCTCACCCTGTGGCTCCTTCCCCGGGGGGTGGGGGGTGAGGAGGCCCTGTGGCCCAGTGGGCAGTGCAGGAAGAAAAATATCCGGAAAGGCTGCCCACCCCCAGACCCCTCCAGGATCCCTCACCGGGGGTGGAGGAGTGGTCCCAGGTGGGCTAAGAATGAGCAAAAAGAACTCATTTGGAGGAAAACTTGCTTTTCCTCAGTGGTGGCCGAGCCCTTCCAATGCTCACCCCAGCCCCCATTCCCGACCTAACCTGGGTGTCGGGCTGAGCCGCAGCCCGAGCTCTCCTGGGCCCCCCGCCCCGCCCACCCCCGCACCGCACACACAGCTGCATCCTCCGGGTCTGGGGGCCTTGCAGCTGCTGGGGTGGGAGGGTCTGGGTGGAGCAGGGACGCCCCCAGCGTCGATGCACACGGGAGCTGCCCCTGAGCACCGGAACCCAGGGACCGGTGCAGAGCCCGCCCGCCCCGCCTCTGCCCCTGCGCCAGCCGGACCCCCTCAGGACCCCGGAGAGGAGTGCGCGGGATCGCGCGTTCGGATCCCGAGCCGGTGGCTGCCGCAGGCGCATTTCCTCGAAGTCTTACCTCGAAGGGTCGGGTCCCCTCCCGAGCGCCCTGCGCTGGCCTCGCGAGTCCCCCACGCCCTCCTGGCAGGGTCGCCAGGCGGCTTCGCCGGGGAATGACCCGCGCGGGGTCGCCCCCGGCCTGCGCCCCGGCGCGGCAAGATCCCGGGGACACCTCTCCAGCGCGCTCCGGGGAAGGCCGGCTCCGCGCGCGCCCCGAGGAGGGTCGGAGCCACAGCCCCTCACCGACCCGCGTGGAGCCAGCGGCTGGGAAACCCCGCCCCCCATCTCGGGGTGGGGAATTCACCGCCGAAGCCCGAGCCCAGCGCGGATCCGCGGAGTGCCACCCGAGGGCGCGGGAACGAGGCTGTCTCCTGCCCGCCCCGCGCCCCCGCCGGGCCGCCCCGCCCCCGGCCCGGCCCGGCCCCGGCGCGCGCGCCGCTGCCCCTTTAAGAAGCCCAGGTGGGCAGGCGGGCTGCGGGCGCCGCTCCTATGGCAACCCGCGCGCTGCGGCGCGGCTGAACCTGCCCGGGCGCCCGAGCCCGAGCGCGGCCGGAGGGCGCTCCGGGGAGGCGGCCGCTGATGTAAGCCCGGCCGGCGGGAGCTCCGCTCCGCAGCCGCACAGCGCCGGGTGCGCCCGGCCCGCAGGAGGCCCAGCGAGCCGGCTCGAGGCGAGGCGGGGGGTCCCGGCGGCTCCTCCCCGGGCACGGCCGCGGACCGAGCGGCCTGCGCCCTCCCGCGGGACGCACCCCCGGGAGACGCGCGGGCCGTGCGCCCTGCGCTCCGGAGCGGCCGCCGCGGCGCCGCCGCTGCCCGCGCCCATTGTTCCCCGCGGGGGCGGGGCACCGGAGCCGGCCGCGCGCCGCGCCCCTGGACGCGGGAGGGAGCGAGGCGGCGAGGGAGGGGCCCGCGGGGTCCCCGTGCCCGGCCCGGCCCGCGGGGAGGCGCAGCGCGGCTAGCCCCGGGGCGCCGAGCGCGGCCGGGACCTTCCCCGCGGCGCGCGGCCTCGCAGCATGGGCGCGTGAGGCGGCGGGCGAGCCGGCGGCGAAGGACGCGTGGCCCCGCGGGCGGAGCTGGAGCGGGTCGGCCGTGCGGCCCCGGCGCCATGGACAAGCTGCCGCCGTCCATGCGCAAGCGGCTGTACAGCCTCCCGCAGCAGGTGGGGGCCAAGGCGTGGATCATGGACGAGGAGGAGGACGCCGAAGAAGAGGGCGCCGGGGGCCGCCAGGACCCCCGCCGCAGGAGCATCCGGCTGCGGCCGCTGCCCTCGCCCTCGCCCTCCGCGGCGGCGGCGGCGGCGGGCGGCGCGGAGTCCCGGGGCGCGGCCCTCGGAGGGGCGGCGGACGGCGAGGGGCCGGCCCGGGGCGCGGCCAAGTCCAGCACGAACGGCGACTGCAGGCGCTTCCGCGGGAGCCTGGCCTCGCTGGGCAGCCGTGGCGGCGGCGGCGGCGGCGGCGGCGGCAGCACGGGCGGCGGCAGCCACGGGCACCTGCATGACTCCGCCGAAGAGCGGCGGCTCATCGCCGAGGGCGACGCGTCCCCCGGCGAGGACAGGACGCCCCCGGGCCTGGCGGCCGAGCCGGAGCGCCCGGGAGCCCCGGCGCCGCCCGCAGCCTCGCCGCCGCAGGTGCCCTCGTCCTGCGGCGAGCAGCGCCCGGCCGACGCGGCTGTCAAAGTGGAGGGAGGCGCGGCCGCGGGCGACCAGATCCTGCCGGAGGCCGAGGCGCGCCTGGGCCAGGCGGGCTTCACAGCAAGCACACAGTGGCGCTGCCTCAGAGGGGGTGGGCCGTTCATGCTCAGGATCAGGAGCAAGCAGCGGTCCCTAGCCCGGCGCTAGTAGAGCAGGAAGTGGAGATCATCCAACCCCTACAAGAAGAGCAACCGGCTTCAGCTAAGTCAGTCAGGCATTTTCCAGACACATAGTGTCTGCAGCCCGAGTTAACTTTGCTTCCGCCGCCGCCGCCGCCGCCGGGAGCTCCGGGGGAGGGATCGGGCTGGGGAGGGCTGGGGAAGAGGGGCGCGACCTCCTCCCTGCGGGGCGCGGGGAACTTTCTTCGGTGTGCGGGCTCCGGGCGCGCTTGTCCTGCTGGGCCGCAGTGGCGACGGGCTGGAAAGGTGCCGTTAAGCCACACGTTCTGCCTCCCGCCTCAGGCTGCAGAGGCAGGGCGGGCGGGCGGCGGCGTGGGAAAGAGAGCGCCCTGCGCGCTGACCGCAGGCGTCCCTAGTATGCTGCGGGGCACCTGGGAGCTGCGGGGCCTGCTTTTTTATCTGCGGGGAGCCGGAGGTCACTGGGGCGCCAGCCGGCCTGCCGGGAAGACTGCCTTCACCCACCATCACCTTGAGCCCAGCCCCTATGGCCAGCAGCTGCACCAGGAGGAGCAGGCGGCCTGGGCAGCTGGCCTACGCCTGGCAGGGAGGGCAGTGACCTTGCTCACTCAGAGTGGTCAGTGAGGGTCCCTGATGCCCTGACCGCCGGCCGGCTGTCCTGCAACCCTGATGTCCTGACCGCCGGCCGGCTGTCCTGCAACCCTGGTGTCCTGACCGCCGGCCAGCTGTCCTGCAGCCCATCGTCGGTGGCGGGTCGGTCTGGTTCCCACACAAGAGGTGTGACTGCCAGTTGGGGAGAGACCCTACCCTTTGCACATTATAGATGCCACTGCTCTGCGGGTGGCGCTGGGGCCTGTGGGTGCCTGTGTTTAAAAATGGGCTGTTTCTGGAGGTGGGGTCAGGGATGCCTAACCCTACTCAAAGGTCCTGGGGGGCCTCCCAGGGTTCCTGTGGTCTTTCCTGGCACACAAGAATGGGGTGGGGGCCTGGGAGCCCCTCCCTGCTTTGAGCGGGGTTTCCGTCTGGTCTCTTTCCGCCCTGCCCCCAGCTCCCTGCCTGCCTGCCCACCCCGCTTGCCTGCCTGTGTCAGTGAGCGTCTCGCCAGCTCAGCGCACCTCCTTTGCCAACTCCAGGGAAGCCGGTTTGTAAAGAGAGCAAAGCCGGTTTTTCCATCCAATGAGAGAGATTTCTCGGGGCTGGGAGTGACCAGTCAGGCAGCACTCCAGGGCTGAAAATAGGTGGCCAGCAGAATCCCTCTCGATTCTTTTGAGGGACTGCTCTTTCTTAGCCTGATATCCAGGGTTCCCGTTCTCCCAGGGTGCGGCGGCCCGGGCCCATCGAAGGGTGCAGCAAATGTGGCGACCCTCCCTCTCTGGCCAGGACTGGGACCTGAGGCCCAGGCTTGAGCAAGGGAGGAGCGGCCAGGAGCCGCCCCGCCCCCACTGCTGAAGTCCTCCTGGTGGTGACAGAGAGGCTCTGCGGTGTCCACTGCCCGAGACTGTGCGAGGGGCTTGGCTCCCTTGCTGGCCTTGTCTCAGGAAAGCCATGATCAGGCTTGTCGGCGTCAAGCCCACTGCCTGGGGTACCAGTACACCCCCTCCCCCGCCAGGTGCCAGCTCAGGTGTGCCCAGCCTCTTGTCAGAGGAAGAGCGCCGTCGGAGGGCCTTCCGGTGCTGGGCCCTGCCCTCCTGGCCTCCCTGCCCGGGTGGTGAGGAGCTAGGGTGAGCTCATCAGATGGGCGCCTTCTCTGTACGGCTCGCTCCTCTGCCCGGCCATGCTGTGTCTGCCTGCAGTCCCAGGACGTGGGCCACAGGGTGGATGAGGGCAGCGGGAAGAGGGTCTGAGCGGCCTTTGAATTTGGGTTGGTGCAGCAAGCAACAGAGGCCGGCGGCTGGAAGCACATGTACTGCCAAGCCTGATGGCTGTCCAGGGCCAGGTGGGTGAGGTGCAAGGAGGCAAACCCAGGAAGGACCGCCTGTGCGCGTGCTCGTGGAGGGGCGGCGGTCCTGGCTCTCCTGCCTTTAGACCGAAACAGCTCAGCTCGTCTTCCAGAGATCAGCGAGGCAAGAGCCTGGCTCCATGGTCTGAGCACAGGAACCCCACACTCTGTTCCTCCTAACCCACGCCACCTCTGCACCAGCCCTGCACCCCAGGGCCAGCCCAGAGTTGCAAGTCCTGGCCTTGGGCTTTGCGTGGAGCAGAGCCCCCCACCCCATCCCAGCCCCTATCCCCGCCCACTTCTGGCTGCACAAAGTGGCTGCAGCGTTGCTGGGGCCTGTTGAGCATTTATTCATCATTTTGATGGGCGGGAAGCATCGATCCAGCAGAATTGGTTTAATAAAGAATCGCCAGCAGCCCGTGATCGATGGGGTTTGTGGTTTGGAGTTTAGGACTGCTGACTTCCGGCGTCTCCTGTGCGCCAAGGGGTGGGGGTGGGGGTGGAGGGTGGGGCCGTACTCCTGGGCCATATGGGATAGTAGGCTTTGCTCTGCTGCTCCTGCCAGGGCCCGCCCCACACACCAAACCCCGGTGACCCCGGTGGCTCTTCCGGCCTCTAACTGCTGCCTGGCCTTTTGAAGCTCATATTTAGGGTTTGTCAAAGGAAGAGGCCAGGACATGGCAGGCGGGCTCTCGGGTCCTGGCTGAGCGCTTGCGTCCCCAGTAGCCGGGTCCTGGGAGCCGGGCTTGGGAGCCTGGAAGAAGTCCAACACGGCATCAGATCCTCCCATGTGCCCGAGAGGAGAGCCAGGGAGGTGGCGGTGTAGCGGGTTGTGCTCTCAGACGCTGGGCCTGTGTGCCCAGGTAAGACACCTGGAGCCGTCGGGGTGGGCTCAGGGACAGGCAGGGAAGTTTGCGTGTGGGGTGTCACTGCCCCAAGGTGAGCTAGGCAGAGGTGGGTCTTCTCATCCCCCTACCCTGCCCCCTGAAGGCCGTGGGGAGGCAGAGGAAGGAAGGGTCTTAGGGTGTGCTCTCCTTGGGCAGAGGCAGCTGGGCGCCGTCTTTGAACTTCAGTTCTCCGACCTGGAAAGCGGGGATCCTGTTGCCTGTGTCCGGGTCAGACACACATTGGACGGCTGTGGTCGCCCCCGTGGAGGGAGCTGCCAGACGGCCGTACCTCCCCCACCCTCCAACGCCCTTCCCCTGGTCCCTGGTCTCTGTCTTTGGCTCAGGCCAGAGTTTCTGACTCGTGTGGGATCAGAGGCCCCACTGAGAACCCGCTGGGGGCTGTGGAATCTCCAGCCAGAAGGATTCGCGTGCATCTGGGTACGCGTGAGGTGGCACTCAGTTTCCGGTGTCTGGCGTCCACTCTGGTTGAGTTGGGGCTCCGGGTTGTGAACCTGCTCTAGCCATCCCAGAAGAGAGAGCGGGCCTGGCAGGAGGCACGAAGCGATGGGGCGGAGGCCTCCGCAGTCGGGTCGACTCAGAGTTGGGTACGTGAGGAAGGACAGGTGCCTCCTCCCTCTCCGTTTCCCATGGGGACTGTGCAGGTAGGAGGCGAGGAGGAGGAGGATGGTGGCAGCCAGCTCTGGGCCTGGGGTCCTGGGACCCTGTCCTGTGTGGGCCCTCCTGGCCGGTGCTGGCAGTGTGGAAAGCTTAGAGCTGCAGCCATGGGGCCTGGGGGAGGGGAAGGGCGCCTGGTGTAGCTAGGATTCGAAGCTCTAGTGGGGGAGACAGCCCCCCACCAGGCTGGGCTGGTGAGCTCAAGGCCCAGGTGCTCCCAGGTAACAGGCCACAGAGCCCCCACGAGGCAGTGGGCCAGGATCCTCTAGCTACCTGCTGCAAGGCCCCAGCTCCCTGGTCTGGTGGCCTTGTGGTGAGACCGGGGTCTGCCTCGGCCCCTGCCCGGCCCTGCCCCCTCGGGTCGCTTAGTGCTGTGAGCCGTGGGGTTTGGGGGCCGTCAGGTTGCCTGTCGCTGTTGGGCACTTCCGTTGGGGTTGGTCCGCCCACCTGTCTGTCTGTCCTCCGCTGTGTTTTAAGGCCTGGCATACCTGGCACTTACGGGGCCTCACTGGCCACCGTCCGTGCCGGCTCCCTCTCCGGCCACCTTGTGGCATTGGAATAGGGCTCGGGGTGACGGTGCAGCTTCTTGCACTGCCTGCCATGCCGTCGGGTCCACCCAGAGGTCCCGTGAGAGTACGGTTCTGGTTCCGTGGGTCTGGAGGGGGGTCTGAGCCTGCGTTTTACTCAGCGCCCAAATGTGACTGACGCTCCCGGTGGCCAGAGCCGGAGCAGGCTGCTGGGGGTACAGCAGTTCCAGGTTGTGTGCTGGGCCTGTGCTCCCCGACTTCCCAGAGAACGGGGTCCCAGCTCAGCACAGCAGGTGAATTCTGTGACGTGGGTTAAGCCAAGCCATGGAATTCTGCTTGCAGACTTGGGGATGTTGGAATCCAGGCACCACCCCCCCAAGTCTGCGCAGCTGCCAGGATCCTGCTGGCCCTAGACGCTGGCTACTGGGGTGAGGTCAGCAGATGGAGGCCCCTCGTCCATCCCTGCTGTCCGACCCGGAGCAGACTGGCTGGGGGAGAAGTGACAGCGTGTGAAGTGACTGCTGTGCTGTTCCAGAAGGCAGCAGATGTCAAGGAGAGAGTCCACAGGAGAGAGATGGGGGGAGGGCGTGAGGTGGCTCTGACTGTGGCCAGCTGGGAGGAGGACAAAGCAGCTGCCTTCGCAGGGACACCCCCAGTGTGGACGCAGGCGCCCCAGCCTGTGCCCAGGGTGGACTCAGGCGCCCCAGCCTGTGCCCAGTGTGGACGCAGGCGCCCCAGCCTGTGCCCAGGGTGGACGCAGGCACCCCAGCCTGTGCCCAGTGTGGACGCAGGCGCCCCAGCCTGTTCCAGCAGCCTCCCCTGTTTCTGGGCCTGTCTCTCCCTGTCCCAGGTCCCCCTGGAGCAGAAGGTCCTGCCCCAGTCCCGCCGAGGGCTTT